GCGCGTGGGAACTATCATTAAATCTAACAAATCCTCTGCATCTCGCAAGACTTTGACGGCTTACCGACAAGGCCGCATCTCAGTGATCGTGGCTACTGATCGTGCTTCTCGTGGTCTTGACCTGGAATCTTTGACTCACGTCATCAACTACGACATCCCGACCAGCATCACCACCTACGTCCACCGAGTTGGACGTACCGCTCGCGCTGGCCGCTCAGGCTCTGCGTGGTCCCTGGTTGCACACCGCGAGGGCCGCTGGTTTGCCAACGAAATCGCAGCCGGTGTCGATGGCCGGATCACACGTACCTCGAACATCGATCGTATCCAGATCAAGGCAGACGCACTAGACTCACTCAAGCCCAAATACGCCAAGGCTTTGGACAAGCTTGAGCAAGAGGTTAAGCGTGGCTAGTCTGGTCTAATATGTGTTTGCGATTTATTGTATTTTATGAGTGGTTATGTGTTGGTCTGCATTCATAGCGTATTCTTGTATCATAATCTGTTCACAAGTCTTGCAGTCTCATGATTTATGCAGTTCCCTCCTTGTCTTGCATGTAAATTAACGTGCCATATCTATGACGCGGTGGTTATGAGCATAGTCAATATCCCGTATCTCATTGAAACTATTGACTTCTAGGTATATATATCATTTATTTCACCAGGCTCTATTGGTTCCTATCAACCTCGAACAAGTCAATAAGGACATTGTGTACTTGGACATCTCTAATTAACCATAGGGCAGTTCCTTTCCCCAAAGGCCATAGACATCGGCACATCGGCAGATACATTTTGCCTATTACCCGGTCCTGCGGGGTTCGGGCTTCTTGTGAGAACGGCAATATGCAGAGATGCGTTAGAAATATGTGAGGGGATCATTTCAGGCTAAACTCGCCCCGTAAATCCAATCATTCCTTCAGCGGATGGCTTATGGCTTGAATAGCTTGTCCTGGAGGTTAATTATGACTTCAGCTCTTGGCCCTTTTTAGATAGCACTACGTTATGTGAACGAAGAGATGAATACTCCAGGTGAAGGTGTTCAAATGTTTGGCTAAAATCAAGTTCAAGGAGAGCAAAACCGACTGATCTCTACCCTGGTATCGAGGTACCCATGCACCTCCCCCCCCCCTTTTCCTTGATACCCTTGCCACCCTTGACAGCCAACGGAGGCCCTGATCGACAAGAATCGGCAAACAAGGAAGTGTTTCAGGCTAAATTGTTTACTTCAAACGTGCAATCGCGGGGGGATCGACTGTAAAACTTCCAAAATGGGTCCAATTGTGTGGGGGGATCTCTTCATACCCCGGACTATAAGTTGATTCCCGTGTCATGAGCAAAGATGGGTTAGTATGAATTTTCAAAGACAGCCTTTCTGCGATGCCTGTCATTTCGCTACTCGCCTTGCTGGCGGCCTTCGCGCCAACCGCGTTGTCCCAGGACAACAACAGTTATGTAGATTACAATACCGAGCCACAACCGAATCTTTACCCCGAAACGATGGCAAAAGTCGAATTCTCTTTCCCAGACTGCTCCAATGGTCCACTGAGCAAGACGATTGTTTGTGACGCCACCGCAAAGCCGCACGACAGAGCTGCTGCCCTCATTTCCATGTTTACCTTTGAAGAGCTTGTGAACAGTACTGGAAATGTCATTCCCGCAGTTCCTCGACTGGGCCTTCCACCTTACCAGGTTTGGAGTGAAGCGCTTCATGGTTTAGATCGAGCAAATCTCACCGAATCCGGGGATTACAGCTGGGCTACCTCGTTCCCATCCCCTATCCTCACCATGGCTGCTTTGAATCGCACCTTGATCAACCAAATCGGTGAAATAATATCAACTCAAGGCAGAGCATTCAACAATGGAGGCCGATATGGGCTCGATGTTTATGCACCCAACATCAATTCCTTCCGCCACCCAGTGTGGGGCCGTGGACAGGAAACTCCAGGCGAAGATGTCCAACTCTGCTCAGTTTACGGACTTGAGTACATAACAGGCATTCAGGGTGGCTTGGACCCCAAGAATCTGAAGTTAGCTGCGACAGCAAAGCATTATGCTGGCTATGACCTTGAGAATTGGGGCAACCATTCAAGACTAGGAAATGATATGAACATCAGCTCATTCGACCTCGCTAGCTATTACACCCCTCAGTTCGTCACAGCAGTGAGAGATGCAAGAGTTCACAGCGTGATGTCATCGTATAACGCAGTCAATGGCGTTCCCTCATCGGCCAATTCCTTCTTGCTCCAAACTCTGCTTCGTGACACCTGGAACTTTGTCGAGGATGGCTATGTTTCTTCTGACTGCGATGCTATCTACAATGTCTTCAACCCCCACGGCTATGCCTCCAGTGCCTCACTCGCTGCGGCGAAAAGTATACAGGCAGGGACAGATATTGATTGTGGGGCGACATATCAGCTCTATTTGAATCAGTCGTTCTCCCAGGGCGAGATCTCCCGCAGTGAAATTGAACGTGCTGTCACTCGTTTCTATTCTAATCTCGTCAGTTTGGGCTACTTTGATGGTAACAACAGCAAATACCGAGATCTGGATTGGTCTGACGTTGTTGCCACTGATGCATGGAACATTTCATATGAGGCTGCCGTGGAAGGAATTGTCCTTCTCAAGAACGATGATACTCTACCGCTGTCCAAGAATACCAGTAGTGTTGCATTAATTGGACCATGGGCAAATGTGACAACTGCATTGCAGGGAAACTACTATGGCGCAGCCCCCTATCTCACCGGCCCGCTCGCTGCCCTGCAATTCTCCAACCTTGAGGTCAACTATGCTTTTGGCACCAATATCTCCTCAAAGTCCACTTCTGGGTTTGAAGCTGCTCTGTCGGCCGCGAGGAAGTCTGATGTGATCATCTTCGCCGGTGGAATTGACAACACTGTCGAGGCAGAGGGAGTGGATCGCGAAAGCATCACCTGGCCTGGTAATCAGCTCCAGCTGATTGAGAAGTTGAGTAAGCTGGACAAGCCGTTGGTTGTTCTACAGATGGGTGGTGGCCAAGTGGACTCTTCATCGCTTAAAGCCAACAAGAACGTCAACTCTCTGGTTTGGGGTGGCTACCCGGGACAATCTGGGGGTCTTGCCATTCTGGACATTCTTACTGGGAAGCGTGCACCCGCTGGTCGTTTGACAGTCACCCAATACCCTGCCGAGTATGCTCTTCAATTCCCTGCTACCGACATGAGCTTGCGCCCGAAGGGCAGCAACCCTGGTCAAACCTACATGTGGTACACAGGCAAGCCAGTTTACGAATTTGGCCATGGGCTGTTCTATACAAAATTCAAGCCATCACTCGCCCACTCCCACGAAGCCAACAATGGGGCTTCCTTCGACATTGCGAAGCTTCTCTCGCGCTCAAACTCCGGATACAACGTGGTTGAACAAGTTCCATTCATGAACTACACCATTGAAGTTGAGAACGCCGGTGATATAACGTCTGACTACACCGCCATAGCCTTCGCCAACACAAAAGCCGGACCGAGCCCGCATCCTAACAAGTGGCTGGTTGGCTTTAATCGTCTCGGTGGAATTGAGCCCCATGCGACTCAGACCATGACAATTCCAATCTCACTAGATAACGTGGCTCGCACTGATGAGAATGGCAACCGCATTGTGTATCCCGGCAAGTATGAACTTGCATTGAACAACGAACGTTCAGCTGTAATTTCATTTACTTTGACCGGTGACGCAACCACTATTGCTACTTGGCCAAAGGAGGAACAACTTGTTCTTCCTTCGTAAGAAGCATCTTTTATCAGTGTATGTTTTAGTTTAATATGATATCGAGCTAAATACATGTTAATATTTTGGTGAATAGTGGCAGCAATCAGAAGTAGCCCAGTTAAACCATCATATAAATAGCTCCTACAACAGGAGAAACAAAAGCAAAGGTCAAGATAGCTCCATCCACCCTATCGGCATTACGGATAGATCAGATCAGAGATATATGAACTCCATAATCTGTCCCCCGGGTGGATGATAGCCTATAGGCAATCTCGCGCACGGACGTTGCGGATCTCCACAAAGATGGAATCCAGCCGATTGGCCGTTCATTCAGCCCTACTTAGGCAGAGGTTTTTGAAGAGTTTCCCCCCGAAGCTGCGAAACTAGCTCTATATACATAGAACCCAGGCAAAACAACCATTGACTTGAATTGTTCTTCGCTGCTCCTCTCGATCAATAAGCAAGTTCCCTCAAAGCGAGACTTTCTCCTTGGCTGATTCCTGTTTGATTCAAGTAGGCTTTCTCAAGATCAAGTATCATCCCAAGCACCTGTTCACAACTTGCTAGACTAATAGAACAGAATCTAGTTTAGTATACAACAAGACACATCAACTTCAGCCGCAATTGCCAACCCACTGGAGACCTAGTCTTCTTGGGTTTATCCAATTCAATGAACAAGCGTTCGTTCTTATAAAATGATGTCATGGTGAATGCTTGATTCACGCCCGTAGAGAGGTTCCATAATACGTTGTTTCATTCTAACTTACATACCCAAAGATACTTGGAAGTAAATAGATAAAATAAGCATAAGGCCTGAACGGGACACATCTTTCAGTATGTCACCTCGCCTATACGGAAACAGCTCGATTTTGCCTAAAAAGAACACTATAGTGGCTTTTTCGTCACCTGAATTTATATAGTATTGCGATCCGATTAGAGCTTAGGGTCGACCTGCCCTAGTTCTGCTCCACTTGTAGCGGGCATAAAACGGATACTGGGAGTATAAATACGAACTATTTGCTGTATCTAAGATAAAGTTTGGATTTTCGACAAGTCATATTGAGGAGATCGCAGAATGGCTGGCGCTCGACTGAACACTTTTTTATATATATTAATATACACTTTGCTCCGTTGTCATCTCAGAAGAGGACAGTCGCAGCAGTGGGAATTACCGAGCGAAAAAAGTCAACAGACAGCATGTACGATACATTCTGCTGCATCTTAAATGAAACCATGATATATTCCACAATTTCAAAGTTCAAAGTTCAAGCCTTTGACGGCTGCCCGTGTCTTTTGAGAAGCTCAGCAACCTCATGATGACCTCCTATCCTTGCTGCTCGTAGTGGTGTTTTGTAAACACCAGCACGGATGGTGCTGTCAGCACCCCTATCGAGCAGCGTTCGGACAATCTGAATATCTCCACGGAAAGCAGCTGCGTGCAATGCGCATCCTTGAAGTCTACTACGGGCATGAATGTCAGCACCGTTTTCGAGTAACACATGTACTATATGGCCTTTCCCCCTTTTTGCAGCAGCAACTAATGCTGGACCCAGGTAACTGTCCGCATTGATGTTGGCACCGCTTTCGAGTAGCATGTGCACTATTTGCTGATTTCCGTTCATCGAAGCTGCTACCAGTGGGCTGCTGTATTCTCCGTTTTCTGTATTCGGGTTGGCACCATTCTCCAGAAGTATTCGAACTATTCGCTCATGCCCGTTGCCACAAGCCGCCAAGAGAGCAGCCCCTTCTCGTTGGTTGATATCCGCGTGATGATTCAGCAAGATTTTAACGATATCTTCTTGGCCCTGTAATGCTGCTGATGTCAGAGCGGTTTCAATCTCGGTTCCTTGAGAATTGGGATTGGCGCCCTTCTCAAGTAAGAGAGTCACCAGTCCCCAGTGACCCGCTACAGCAGCAGCTTCCAAAGGACTGCCGAGGAGCTCACTCTCAGCATTGATATTTGCGCCACTGCTGAGCAGAATCCTCACAGTGCTCAGTTGGCCTCTGTCGCACGCTGCAATCAGAGCACTTCCATTCCATCCACACGGGGTATCAACGTCAACTCCCCATCCAAGAAGAAGTCTGACAATATCGTCATATCCGTGATCTGCAGCACATGACAGCGGGCTGTAGTCATGGCTATTCCCGGTTGGATTAGCTCCATGTGCAAGAAGTAATTGAATGATATTCACATGACCTCCTGAAATTGCCCATTTCAATGGTGTCCAGCCACCATTATAACAGCTGTCCACCGTGTATTGATCTTCAAGAAAGTAGGATACTGCTTCCTCAACTCCACGGTATGCAGCGAGATGCAGCCCCGTCTTTTGCCTTGGAAAATTCTGGCTCCAATCATTTGGGATTGAGTGCCTACTGACATGGATTGCTTGTTCTGAGGCATCGAGTTTTGCCTGATCTTTCAAGAAATGCATCACATCAGAACGCGTAGTTCCGGCAGCTTTTAAATGGTGGCTCCAATGGCGTACCACATAAGTGTAGAATGGATAGGATTGTAAACGCTCTTCGAACGCTTCGTCGCTTTCACAGATCCCAGATCCAAATGTGTCAAAGGAAATGTAAGTGAGGCACAACGTGCTGATTTCATTTTCGGCGCTGGGAAAGAGTGAATCTTTCTTCCGCTCTAGGTATTCTTGCGTCGTATAATGAACCAGTCGAATTATGCCGCTTTCGTTTTCAACGGTAACAAGACCAGCGCACACAGCAAGGATGTCTTCGACCTCCGGCAAGTTCTCCTCATCAAGGCTAGATTCGCCTTCCTCTATTGCAAGTGCATGCTGGAGCTCCAACGAAGTGAGTGGTCTTCTTGCGCATGCAAGCCAGGACAGAGTTTGCATCGCTAAGTCAGTTTGCTCTCCTAACTGCCCCCGAATGCGGCCCATCGCGGTGTCATAAGCCTTGTCGTATGCATAGTCACTAAACCCCTTCGAGAGCTCTTTCAGAGCTGTTCGAGTAGATTTAGCTGACCTTCTGCCGATCAATGACTCGAAGTAAAGCTGTGCAAGGAGAAACCTGAGGATAAGTGAGCAATCTAATTCTTCGATGAAGAATAATTTCCATAAAGGAGACTCACATTCCCTGTACATGGCGTGAGATTACAGTCACAATCTCTTCCTGCAATGCAGTATTTCGGTTCACAAATCCCGGGAGCCGAAACATGTTACCATCAAGATATCGTCTAACGTCGTCCTCGTGAGCCTGGATCTCCAAAAAGGCACCCCCTTTGAACAAATTATCTATCTCCGTAGGCCTCGACGTAGCGAAGACTTTTGCTCCAGCCCTGGCACGAATTTTGTTGAGCTCGTCCAAAACTCTCGTACGGGAAGTGGTTTCACACTCATCGAGGGCATCGATGATGATAAAAACATCAGAGTACATGGAGATAACGGAATACAGGGCTTTCGATATTTCATCGAATCGTGGACGCGTCGATGCAGTTTTATGGCGCTTGTAGAGGTCCCTTACTGCATCCGGAACAGATGTTCTCTTCTTGCATAATTGCGTCAACAGGCTTGAAAGCAAGTCTTGAGCTCTCTGTTCATCTTGTCGATTGAAGTTGCAATAAATGTAGGCTATGCCAACATCTGGGTTATCATCAAAGCGCGTAATCAAATCATCGACAAGGATTGCAGAACAGATGGTCTTTCCCGCACCCGGCATTCCTGCACAAAACAAGGTGGCTCGGCCTGTTCGAAGCCAATGTTCATATTCTTCCGAAGCGAGAAGCCATTGCCCAGTTCCTGCTTGTCGTCGACCGAGTAGATCGCTCTGCTGCAACGTGTAATCAACGGCAGACAGCCAGTCGAGAATACAAGACTGTTCATTGCTCTCTTGTCGGTGGTTGAGTTGTTCCAGTGTTTGTTTTATCCCAGCCATCGTTTGACTATGGGCGTCAGATCCTGCCATGCTCAGGTGTGCCAGGTGTGGTAGAAGAGGGGAAGTATATAATACCTTGATATAGCACTCAAAAACGACTGGAGTAATGTCACATTAGATATTAAGCGACCTCGAAGCTCGGCTATGTCTTCAGGCTCCCAGGAAATCCGCTTCCAAATACTTCTAGCTTTTTTGTGAATCGATGTGCCACCATATTCGATGATTTTATATTTTTCCATGGTATCTTGAAGCTCATTCAGCAGGATCATACAGCTTTGACTGATTTCCCCTAGTTGCTCTTGTTGGCGATCACTGATATCGTGACCCAGTAGTTGAAAATCGACGTCTTGGACGATAATTGCCAGCCCCCTGACCCTGTAAGACCGAAAATATCAGTTTCTGACCAATGGCCTATGTATACAATATGGACGTACTCTCTGGATATACTGTTGAACTGGCTTGGAGCGCCAACAAAGTCTCTTCGGAGCTTATTAGCCAAAGTAAGAACGGAAATGAAGTCTCCGAAGCTCAGTCCGAAACTCATCGTGGATGTTATTCGATTTCCAATGTGAGATTTCCCAGGGGGAATATGTGAGCAATTATTGGGGTTTAAATGTTAAATGTTAAGATTTCCTATTTCTTCTACAGCGAACCCCAAGTTCTGGGACACTTCGTACTTTTTTTTCTACTACAGCTGTCTAGCGTTCGAATCTTTGGATTGATTGGCTATTAGACATCCTCTACGACACGCTTCTTGCATTAGCGTGTGTGGTGAGAATCAGAGGGCCAAATCCTGCAGCATACCGTCAGGTTTCAGGTAAAATTACAAGAAACAGTGCAAACAGCCCCAATTTAATTGGGGCTATGCAAGCCATCATGAAATATCTGTATCTTTGAATCATACCTATGTATTTATTGCACACTTTATCCCTTCCGGGTTTGCACATTAGAATCCCTGTCTAATTCCTGACAATCGCTTAGACATTCGGTTCTAGTTCCTCGCCGAAATATTTCCAAGATAAAATTTGGCATGCAGTAGCGGTCTGATCTGAGCTTTCTTGGTTCAAGCACAGAACCCACAGCATTGAACAGCCTAAGCGCGAGAAGGGCAGATTGAAAGAGATCTTGCCCCTATACCTAACTATACAAGTGATGGTAGTCAAAAGCCTTCGCCTAGGTACGAATCAAAGGATATACAGCGAAATTTGGACATGTTTGCTGGCATTAATATAAAAAAAACCCGCCCTTGTAATGACAGCAAGAAGAAAAGTAACTAGTTAACTAACGTATTTCACCCCATTGCTGGACACACCCCATAGCTGGACAC